CTACCAAGGGAGCCCACATCGAGGTCTACTGAGGTCAGTAAAAAACTTCCAGAGTTTCACTGTAATCTGCCGCAAACCGCATGTGGCAAGCTCAATTTGTTTGCGCGCCACAATTTTTCAAAACCCCGAAGGGACTTTGTGGACACACTGTACAACATACTGAAACTTGTTTCAAACAGATGTTACTTATAATAGGATTTGAGGTTTCTACGGTGGTCTGTTTGAAGATGACTGTCTTCTGGGATGTTGTTACTCATCTTAACCCTTTGAAGCCAAAGGCCATCTAAATATTTAAGAACCAAGTCCATACCAAAAATAAAACACTACAGTTCACCATTACAAAGATCAATTGGTTAATACTGTTTTAGGAAATATTGTACTTCCTTTGCACACTTTTTTAAAAATAATTTACCTGTAAAATGGGGTGCATGGCTTACATGAGTATGAATCACTGCTTACCTAACTGTATCTCTCTACCTGCTCCTTGTCCTTTTAAAGTGGGGCTGACCATTACCTGCTTCAGTTATTATTTGAAAAATGAGTATGAAGGGTATGAGATTATGGTCTTTCACAGCAAATGAAAAATTGAAGATAGTTTGAGTGGCTGAGGAAATCAGAAATTGGGATGCTGGGAGAAGGTTCGAAGTCAGTGAGGTGTGTATAAGAGCCTGGAAGAAGAAGAAGAAGGACCTTCTAATGGAGACTACAAGTAATCGAAGAGCCTTCAGAGGATCCAAACAGAAGTTTGAGGTAATCGAAGATGAGATAGTGAGCTTTATTTGTGAGAAGCAGCAGTTCAGATATATCCATTTCATGCACTGATCATAAGAATCCACAAAAGTGACAAGTGTTCTACTTTATGTAGTTATGTGTTTTATGTAGTTATTAACACATCAGTTATGAAAAATTACCATCAGGTATAGCTGGTTTGTCCTTGGGAGGATCTTCTGTGTCCTTCCTCGCACGTTTTGACGGTGGGGAGCCACCTGCAGAAAACACTGGCAACAATCGTTTGTTACCTAAAAAGGGAACAATTCTTCATTAATTTGTCAAGTTACAGAGTCAATGGTGTAATTTCTGCATGGACGTTTTGTGAACTGACAAATTGTGTCATTTACAGAATAATACAATATTTTAAAACCATATTTACTTGTGTTGCAGTTATTTAAAAAATTATTTGTCCTTAAAATCAGGGCTGTGGAGTCGGTACTAAAACCTACAACTCCTTCATAAAAGCTCAATATGTATTAACAAGGGTAAACCTACTAAAATGGCAAATGGCACCATAAGAGATTTCATCACCACCACGTGAATCATCAGCCTACTTTTTAGACTTATAACCTATATTTAAATATAAGTCTAATGGTTATTGCAGAATATGACAGACGGGTTCCCAAAAACTCTTAATGTAACCTTTCTAGTCAAAGGCTAAGATATGAATTTTCTGGTGATTGGAGAGGATATGTGCTTCCATTGTACTGTTTGTTTCGTATATTCATGCTTGTGGTACCCAGATCTCAACATCCTTTATCAGTACGATTCAGAAAAGTATTCTGCTTCATCACAGTATGACGACAAATGGTTTCTGCTGATGTATTCATTCACACGTCGGCTGCTTCACAACTCATCTGGTACAAACTTTGTGGTATTCCAGATCATGAATTATGTAAGTATAACCATGGCCAATGCCCATTTCAGATTTGGTTGCATGGTTCTTGGCCCCGATACATTAACTGATCTGTTCCTTAACTTCAACCTAAGGTACAGTCAATAACGATCCAGGTCCTTTGATTCTTCCCACTCATTTGTAAACTCTCCTCTGGCTAATAAAGTTAACGTTATATTGAATTCAGTCATAGAAATTAATGTGGTGATTGCACTTAGTAATTTTTCCAAGCTTATCACTAATAAAGGCTCACACCCTAATTTTTGTAATATTTTTCAGAATAAAATGTGCAGGGTACTCAAGAAAATATAGCAACTTAGATACATACCAAAAGCAAGAGCTGCTAATGCTTCTCCTACTGCTGGATCTTTCTCTTTACTCTTTTCTCTTGCTGCATCTTTCATTTTGTCACTATCTTTATTATCTTCCTCCTTTGCTTTTGGTTTGTCTGTGAGTTTCCTGTAGTGCAATGAATCCCGTGTCACCATCTTCTGGACTAGCTTTCGCACCTGTGTCAGAAACATTACAGTAGTGTTACCTTATATGAAACGTATAGAAAAAAAGGAAGATTAGTTGGGCTAGCAAAATTGTGACAGTGCGTAAGAAAAGAGCTGTCATGAGAAACAAGTAAAGGAAAGAGGAAAGTAGAATGGAACCAGAACTTGTTGAAACACCCAGATGGGATGACATTAAAATGTACCTTACAGAAATATGCTGAGAATGTCAGCTAGCTTGAAATGGCTAAAGTTTGTGTCTGAAGGTGGAAGCTGGTATTGGTAACGTTAACTTTTACGTTATGTTAACAGACAGTTATTGCATTGTGTGTGTACCTGTGCTCTTGACAGGTTCAGTCCCAGTGTGTATAGAAGCTCTTCAATATCCTTATCAAATATGTATCCACAATGAGACTGATCAAAATATACAAATGCTAAGAGTAAATGTGGATCCTCAGTATACAGCTTCAATCGTTCCTTCTTCTTTTTGTCCTTATCTTTGTCTCTCTTTCTGTCTTTGTCATCTCTTTCTTTCTCCTTCTTGCTGTCTTTTGAATCTTCATCCTCCTGAAACCAGAAAACAATACATGGACATTGAAGATGGCTGTCTCTCTTAACAATATTTTGCTTGAATTTGATGTACCTAAGAAGCTAAAACCCTGGGTAGTGATCGGATTCCGGCCAAATTGATCAAAGCAGGAGGCGAAACATTCCACTCTGAGACACACAGACTTATATGTTCTGTATGAAATATTGAGGAAATGGAACACAGTGATGGAACGAATCTATTATAGTACCAAAACATAAAAATCATGATAAGACTTACTGTAATAATTACTGAAAACTCTCCCCTTGTTATCATCTGCCTACAAAATTTTATCCACCATTCTTCTGGCAAGACTGACTCCATATGTCAATCAAATTATTGAGGAACTTAAGTATGGCTTCCATCATAATAGATCAAATTTTATATATTTGCAAGATAGTAGAAAAAAAATGGCAGTACAATGGGACAGTACATCAACTATTTATAGACTTTAAGAAGCATATGACTCAGATAAAAGAGAAGCTCTTTACAATATTTTTCGTGAATATGGTGTACCTAAGAAGCTAGTCAGGTTAATTAAATTGTGTTTCAGTGAAACCTCCAGCAAAATTTGTGTAGGTTAACATTTGTCCGATATATTTCATATTCAGAATGGCCTGAAACAGGGAGATGCTCTATTGCCGCTGCTTTTAAATTTTGCCTTAGAATATGCCGTCAGGACAACCCAAGATAATCAGGGCGGATTAGAAATGAATTGGATACATCAGCTTTTGGTCTATGCTGATGATAATTAATCTGCTGGGCGAGAATATAAATACTATAAAAGTGAACACAGAAACATTCTTATGGGCTAGTAGGGATGTTGGTCTAGAAATAAATGTAAAAAATACATGGTACATTTTTATATCTCGGCATCAGAATTGGGAGCATAACCAGAATATAAGTATAGCCAATGAATTGTTCGAAAATGTGACAAAATTCAGGTACTTAGGGATGACAGTAACAAGTCAGAATGACATTCATGACAAAATCAAGAGCAGATTTAATTCAGGGAATGCTTGTTATCATTCAGTCCAAAATCTTTTGTCCTCCCACCTCATATCAAGTTTGTGGTGAAGTTAGATGGCACGTGCCACTCAGTTCTAGAAAACACTGCAGACTATGTTGAAACACAATAGTTATGTGGTATTGCAAAATTTTGCTACAGGCATCATGACATAACAAGAATTTTTTGAATGTAGAATAATTCTAGATCTTTAGTTTAGAAAAACTGGTCTTTCTCGAATATTTAAAACAGAACCAAACAAGGACAGACCACACATATCACAAACCTAACTCAAATGCCATTTTTCTTACAGGGGCACTTTTCATCCAAACATAGCAAATAGGTATTCTAGATTATTACAGCTTCCAATCAATTTGTGTGCGCACGTGGAGTAACGAGGATTTCAGTGTACTAAATAACAAAAGAAAAGATCAGTTTTATGTCCAAGCTCCATTAACTGTTTTTCAGAGAGCATTTTTCATACCTCATCATCATCATCTTCTTCATCATCATCATCTTTATCTTCATTTTTCTCTCTATCTTTCTCCTTCTCATCAATTTTACTCTTACAATCCTCTCTTTTATCTCTGTCTTCTCTCTTATCATCCTTGTCTTCTTTCTTGCCATTCTTCTTATCATCTTTCCTGTCCTTCTTATCTTTCTCATCCTTCTTGTCACGCTCCTTTTTTCGATCCTATAAAAGCATACAAATACAGAAATTAAAACAAAATAACTTGCATTCCAGTGGATATTCTGGAAACATGCCACCAGCTACGTGCTTGCTCATTTTATAGTTTAGTTTCAATGACTCAAGATATGTTCATGTACTATGAATAAGTTTCTATGCTATCAACATTAAGTACACAATGCTAGATACCAACTTGTAATGAAAACATCAACACCTCTTTATTACATGTACAATACTTGTTACCATCACAGATGCATCTCACCTTTTCATCTTCTTTAGCACGCTCAGGAGCATCATTCAAAGCTCGATATATCCGGAATCCAAAGTCTCTCATCAACATCTCATTGAAGAGCTCCGCAAACAGAGAAACTTCAAAAGAGTGTTCCTGAAAAAGGGATCTTTCATTAGAGAGAGTTTTCCTAATCTGATCACAGCCATGAGAACATCTAGTAAGACTTCTTTTTAAAAAAGGAATAATCAAGGAAGAATTTAGTGAGAGGTTTTATGGCTGCAAAACCCCTACTGAATTCAGTTAGAAAGGAAAAATTCAGTGGTAAAAGAAACAAAATTTATGTCAACAGAATATTAAATTTGTGAACCTATGTAATAAAGTGTAGTTTTCAAAACAGCCTCCAAAATATAATCTCAGGTATGCCAACCAGAAAAAATTGTTCAGTAAAACTTGCAACAGGTATATCCATTAAAGCCACATCCATAACACAAAAAATCCACAATCATAAAATTAAATTACTAATATAAATTAGCAATTAATCTGCCATTCACAAAACACTGAAGCAGTAACAAACAACCAGACATTTATACCAGTAAAGTAATTTTGACTGGTGCTATGATGACAGGTAAAAAATTGACAGTGGAACCACGGTTCCGGAGAATATGACGTAAATACGTCTCTCTATTTAATTTATATTTACGTCTCTGTAATGTAATGTAAAGTAGTGAAATGTAATGTAATGTTATCTTCAATGTCATACATCTTCTTACGAAAGCGGATTGGTGACGGCAGTAATATAACACAACAATGCCGAGTAAACAGATGACGTTTCCTAGGTAACATAACAATGCACGCAAGCTAACCATTGTTGTCTTACACATTTTCGTTATACATTTTCCTGTTACTTTTTCGTTACACTTTTTTGCGGAATGACCCTTCCGTATAGACATATTTACATCAAAAACGGCAATATTAATCCTGTTTCTACCCACTTAACAACATGATAATAGTAATTTTAATTCAGATTATTATTAAGTATTAATCTGTACCACCCATTAAGCACAGGGACATTTTTAGATGGCTATGCCAAGGTACAATATTTTTTCTTGGTTCTCACAGTCCCTTTTGATACTTCCTCTTGCTTGTGCAAGGCAGTTACGATGCTTATGAAAGACATGTTCAAGTCCGTCTCTGATATTGTCAAAGACCAGTTGTTCTCGCTTTCGACACTACTCTGAACGCTGTTTCTGCAGGGAACTTAAATCCTCAAGAAATGTTATTCTGAATTTCATGTGACTCTTCTTCATAATATGCACATAAAAACACCAAATACTGCAGTTTAATGAAGTTATACATAACGTACACAAAAAGAATCTTGCACAACATGGAGTCAAACGTGAATATTCACACTTCTCTTCATTACCAATGCTGACTTATGAGGGTAACCACCACAGTCACAACTGACTGAGTAGGAAAACCAGTAACAATGCATGGCATGGCTGCCACAAAATTGTCCTTAACAAAATATTTTTTCAATTAATTTTCTTACGCTACCACCTAAACACAGAACTAGTCAACAAAATATATAAGTGCCTTAGCAATTATTCTGTGTTCACAGAAATTTCACACAAAAATTATTATAGAAGTTAACACCTTGAATGAAAATTTAGAGCATAATACAACACAAATATAAGTGAAACATATTCATTACGAAATGTTATGGTAAAATTATGAGGAAGGATATGCAATAAATACTACATAACTGCTCATTCCCACTGATGTATATGTGAATCTTTTCTTCTGTTTCAGAATATTTTGCTGTGAAATGATTTAAACACATACCCTCAGTACTCATGTGTGTGTGTGTGTGTGTGTGTGTGTGGGGGGGGGGGGGGGGGGGGCACAGCACCTTACAGAATAAAATTCACTGTGTAATGTTGCACACTCATGCCATGTTCTCTGAGATATGGTCACATCTTCCAAGAAATGTATGTGGTATATGAGAAAATACAGCCATCATGGCTTGGTCTAACAAAATTAATGTAGTAACATTTCATCCACAATAGACACAATGGTTATATAACCACAACTCAAATTTCTTGATTTAGGTGTAATGGTTATACCACACTGGCTTGGTCTTCTGAAATTAGACAGTGGTATAACCTACACTATGTTATGAGTCAGTAAAGCAAGGGAGAACTAAAAAAAATAAACAGATTTCACACTGGAAGCTTCAACATTCCCCCACTTAATGGTACCTGCACCTTGTCGTGGTTGTGGGGCATGAGTACCTCAGTGATCCCAAGACCTACTGGTAGGGCCTCCCTAGCCAGATTGGTCGAGGGGGAGAGGTCAGACTAAGACAGGTACTCTGGTCCTCCAGGTTGGGGTTTGGTCGCAAGGCTAACAACCTTGCACCGTAAAAAGGAAGACATTTCGAAACCTCGATCAAAGCCTCGGACAGACGGACCTAACAGAAGGACCGAATGGAAGAGGCCATGGACCAAACACGGACGGGAGAGCCATAGAAGAAGAAGCTTCAACATTCATCATCCATGCATCATGGCTTATGCACAATTCAGGTGACTGTATGTCACACTAGCAAACCATTAAACCATTAACCCCCAAAGTTAAAGTTCAACCTGTATCCCAGAAAGCATAGGGGTTTAAATTCCCTATTCCCATATGATTAAGGTTAAAATAAAATACTCTGACAAGTGGTTAATATTTTCTGGAATCATTACACAATTGATGCAAACAATGCACACATGTAAGAACAAAGGAAGGACTGAAAGAAGGAACCTTCCAACACAAAAAATATGTTATATCTGATGTAGTGCACCAATCCTGTCCTGTGCATATTATGTGAATTGTACCGATACATAATAAATAAAATATACATGCATTTAGTTAATTCTACGCACCTTGGTGTCTTCTGGCCGATAATCAAGAAGAAGGGACAGAGACATGACGGTACAGTCAAATTTGCCTGATTTAGCTGTACGCGAGGGATGGACAACAATATGAGGAGACTCTGGCAATGCATATCGCTTCTCCCTGGCAATTCGTTCTCGTTCATCTTGCTTCTTCTTCTCCTCCTCCTGCACAAATAAACAGAATATTACAGAAAGAAACCAGTACCACATAAACTGCATAAATTATTTTGTATTTACACAATAATAATCATAAAAATATGAGCATTGTTCCTTTACCAATTACATTCTTAGTGCCTGATTTTAATTTTCAAGTTTTGTAGGCAATTTACTGAATTGTTTATAAAATCCCATTGAAATAATAATCTTGGAACCCTATTTGTCAGCTGCATATGTCTCACTACCGACTGACTGACTGACTGACCAAACCAATCAATCAAAAACCACTCATGTAAGATTTGAGGTTTTCACAGTGGTAAGTCTGAAGATTGCTGTCTTCTGGGTTGTTGCGCCGTGTAGTCTGCTAGATGTCAACAAACGTTTCAGGGCAATGACGGAGGCAGTATGACCTCTGAAACGTTGGTAGACATCTACCAGACCACACAGCACAACAACCCAGAAGACAGCAATCTTCAAAAGGCACTCAGCTGCTATGAAAATTTCCCACCTTCTCCAGAACCTTGAGGTTCATTACTGTGTTTACAAGAGCCAGCTAATGAATGTCACTGCTGAGCGGTCAGTATTCCTCCTTCATATTCAGGAGATCCTGGGCTCAAAACAGGCTTTCCTGGGAGTTTTCATAGTTCTCTTTAGCCCCTTCAGGCAGACTCTGGGACACGTCTTAAATAGCCCACAACCAATTTAGTATTCATTAATCATCTCATCATTTGGTGCTAAATAGTGTGAGCTACAGACAGCATTTCCTATATAATAAGCAATCTAAGCCAGTTCAATCTAGATGACCTTTTCAGAACTAATTTCCATTTAGCCTTATTTAATATTAACCTACTATCTATATTCAAGTCTACTATACAGACCGTTCCTTTGAGCATTTCCAATCAAGATTTTGAATTTATTACTTGTTTCCACTGTGTTCTATATGTCCACTCTAGATACAACCCCTATTTCTAGTTCTCATCTCTGTGAAAATGTAGACTGTGGTCTTATGGGTTGTGACAACATGAAGGTGGTTACCAACATTCCTTTGAAGCATTGGCAACCACACAGCATCACAACATAGAAGACCACAATCAAAAAACTTGAACGTTCACACATCCTTATAAAATCTAAACATAAATCACTACAATCAAGACAGAAAAATAATTTTATGAAACTATTACAGAAAGTACTGCATCTCTAATCACTGTATGCTTCAGTTTCACACTCTGTTTTACCTCTTTCTTCTTTTTCTCATCATCTTTGTCCTCCATCTCCTGTTTGGGAACGGGCTCAGCGTCATCTCCCTTCCTCACTTCATCCTCCTCAGCCTTCTCTGCCTCAGTCTTGATGGCCTTGGTGAGTCGAGCTATAAGCTGAGACTTCAGCCCCTTTGGGCTCAAGGTGCGTGCCTCCAACTCCTGTCGAAGTTCATTCACCTGAGCAGGTGCACATAACAGCAAACCACCACATTACTAGTTGTGGCAATATCTCGAACTTGGACCATTGGAGTATGAATGCAAAATTAAAATTATGAGGGACCTTGAGAAGAATATCACACAACACTGACAGAAGGATCTACTCCATGTTTCATCCACACTTTAAACATTCTACATAAAAAATTAATTTGAAAGAATTATTAAGCTTTACCCAACTACCCAATTAAAGTCAATAACAGATTATCTGCTAGACCTCCTAAAATTCAATCTGGCCACTGTTTAGAAGATTTCTTTTTGTGTATAATTCATGGATGTCAAGATATTTTCATCTATATGACATCTAGAAAGCAGTGATGAAACAGGAACTTTTCAATTTATGTTCATATCTTTATTGACAAGCAGGCGAAAGAGTTATTATAACCAACTGGACATGGGCTATACTTCAAGGCTGAGTCAATTATATACTCAGACAACACATTAACTTACACATGACAAATCATGGAAGTGATGAAAGATGGGAAAACCATGTTCGGGATAAAATTCAATATAGGTTAGGACCTTAAGGCAGAACCACCTGCCTCTCAATGGAATTCCATACAATAATACACTGGAAGAATTCTATCAGACAATACATATGAGTGCTCAGACATGCCTTCACCTCTGTTTCAGACCACAAAACCCTTGGATTGCATCTGGTGGTTCAAGCCCTGCAAATTACCCACCTCCTGGATAAAAGATATTTCATTCCTGTCTCTAAATTACCAGTTTCTTCACTACCAATTAAGTCACTGCTTTTATATGCTCAGAAGTAAGTACAAGGCTTGTTCAAATGAAACCCATTCAGGATCTGTTCTGGAAAAATGAGCAGAGCCATTATAAATAGTCCCTATGAGCAACGAGACAGACGTCTCACTGTTGCACCAGCTGAAGGATTTCCTCTGTAAAGAGTTTCCTGGGCTGCTGTTGGGACCGACCCACCACTGCAATCTTGATGCCTCTGTTGGACACAAATCTAAGCCCTTTAGCACTTTTTTGAGGGGGCTGAACACATGAAAGCCACAAAGTGACAAATCCAAGGCAGTGTTCACCGCATGGGAATGGGCATTACGATAAAACACCTTGTAAGCATTCTGGATTATTAAGTTTTTGAACTTTGACCATTGTCTGATATTCTAAAAAATACACAAAGTTTCAAAAACCAGATCTGTCTTCATACTCAGGTGTAAGAAAAGGGGGGGTACCTACTCTGTGGGGTCTGTTAAAAGAGCTAACCTCAATCAGCACTTTTTGAAACAGCTGTTAAAGAGTCATCTTAATATTCAGAATCACAAACATCACTGTGTCTCTTTCTTAACATCAGATAGCCATCATTTACTTATCATTATGTACATATATAGGCCTACCACATAATATTTTAGTTTTTTAACTACAAACCAATTAAATTTATCTTTTCAGTTATCATCACCACTGTCCCACAAAATGTAGGATGCCAAACAATGCATGTCAATCTTTTATAGCATATTAATAGGCACTGGTTCTTAACAAACCTTCTTCAAGGACAGAACAACAGGTAACGCTGGCACTTAAAGATCAAAAGTATGCTCTTTGAATCCTCTATGTGTAGTGATGCAACAACATCTAGATTTAAAACACTGTATTCAAAATGCATGTGACAACATTGCTTGCAAAGTTATGTAACTTTGTCAGCTCACTTTAAAACCAGCTTTATTCCAGAAATAAGGCTTGTTCAAAAGCAAAGTTAGATACTGGCCATTCAGTAGCCTTGTTTCAAAAGAGAGCAGAAAGGTATGAGTGTGTGAATAAAATATGAAAAATGTTCAAAACTCATTTTTGCCAAAAATGAAATAAGACCACTATCAAAAATTACTGATTCAATTTAAAGTAATTTGAATCCATGCTGGTGGAAATTACACACTTTTTGCCAAAAATGAAATAAGACCACTTTCAAAAATGACTGATTCAATTTAAAGTAATTTTAATCCATGCTGGTGGAAATTACACAAAGAAATGATCGGTAAATTGCATAATTATGAAATCAGTTACTTCTAACCTATCATAGAGACTGAAGCATTGCATTGTACGTTCTTCCCAGAACTACTCCTTTTGCCCTATTACGTGCTTACAAGATTACATCTAAAGGTCAGGTGGTTCTGTCAGTGACCAATTTAGGGTCACAGCAAGACAAGGTTTAGAATCACAGGTTTATGCAAATTACCTCCTTTCCTCATTAACTACCATCCCTCCCACATCTAAAGTGGAGTACTCACCTTCATGCCCTTTGGATCCAGCTCAGAGAAGTGTGTTGGTTCCTTTTTGATCTCACTTGTACTTTCTTCGCCTTCCTGTAACCAACATTCAACTTGTTAACTTCTCTTCAACACTTACTCATCATCTGTCATGGTTCTAAACACACCGGAATGGATCATGGCAGGGAGATCAATAAGCACAATCAAAACAGAAGTACACACTCCTCACACACAAAACCACCACCTTCCTAGAAAGTCAAGTTGAATGGTAACTTACCATTCAACTTCCTTTTCAGCATTATTAACAAAACTAAAAACCATGTCAAAACAAGATCAGATATTTATGCATTCCAAGAACAATCATATGAGACTTGCTTTGACACCACACAGTTAATGCAGTTTACATCTGATATCATCGCTGCTGTGAACAACATTATTTTAGTTTCTTAAACAGCATGAGGAACTGGATTATGCATTAAAACACTAATGATCCTGAAGCTGTCTGCTTCCATTTGATGTGCACCTTGCTTGGGAAACTCTGACCCCATAGCTAGACATGGTTATCTGCCCAAGTCGTCGACCAGAAGTCAGCATTCCTGATGACAAACTGAGAATCCCGTCTCCCCATACCCTTAAGCCAGAAAGTCGCTATATATAGTGGATATTCTACAAACAAGTGCAAGCCCCCCTTGATCGTGAGGACAGCATCGATGTCGGAACACCATCCCTTCACGCTTTGCCAGCCTTGGTGGAACTCCGGCGACTTTTGGGCATTTTTCCTGCATGAAGCAAAATACACCTCCAGATACAATCCTGTGGTTCAAAAGATGACTGCATGTTTCAGTTTAATCCCACTGACCTACATCCCCAAAAATGGGCTCCACCACTGCCTGTCAGCAAACTGAACAAATCTGAATCACCATAAACAATAAGGCTGCAAAGAGTCACTTTCTCTCACATGTGCGCACACACTTACACTCTACAATGAACAGGGGGAGAAAACAGAGAAAGAAAAGTAAGGTCTCTAAGAAAAGAGATGCATAAAGAGGGATGTGTATGGTTGGCTGTGCCTTTTCATCTGCATTGACTCCATCTGTGCCATCTTGGTCTGCTTTCAGCTTGCGTTCCAGCTGTTTCTTGTAGTTGAGATGAAGGCCGTCCCACTCTAGGCGTGTCGGAACACAGCTCCAAACATCTGGGAGAAATAGTACCACTGTTTCAACCCGCGCTGGCACCACACGCCCTTTGTGAGTAGACTCGCCTCGCCGGTAGTAAATCTCCAGGAACCGATACCTGTCAGGGTCAGAAGTTACCCTCGCATTACAAGCAACATCAGCTACCTTAGCGTCAGAAGCGAATGAGCGACAAGCAAGTCTGGAAGTCCATGGCCGCCAGATGGATAATTAGATCATTTCCTGCACATGCTAAAATGGTTCATAAAATTCCAATTATTCATCATTTACAGGACAACTTCAAATAGGTGCTGAACTGTGGACAATCCAGTTCACCCGTACTCTGACACAAATATAATTTCTGATCACAGCGAAGAAGCTGTGGCACATGTGAAACGAAACATTCTGTTCTGCTGCACACATGTAAGACAACTTGTTTTAATACTGTTCCATTTACAAACAGAAATAAAGTGAAGAAATGGTAATTTACCAGTTTCTAGTGCTAATGTTACAGGCCCTTATATAAGGCTCAAATGTTGTTTATAATATTATGCATTGCTGAAACTGACAAGAACACTCTGAAAGCTCCATTACAAAGTGTAATATTATAAATCAAGTTAATAAAACCTTTTTTAAATAAGTTGTGTAAAAAAAAACTGTTGTGGGCCCTACTAAACAAAAACTTTTAACCAATAAATTTCATGAAAAAAAAAGTTCTTCCATTAAAATGACAAACGCAATAAACATTAAACATTCTTAAGTTACCTAACGAAAGTAAAAAGAATCTCGCCTTTACTTCCAGATTTGTGAATTCTGATTCAAGGAAAGAAAGGTTATGTGATATGCAGAAAAGAATTCTGTATGCGAGTCAAAAAGGAACTGTTGAAGAGTCCTGCCTCGTTTGACTCCCATTTTCTTCAAACTGCATAACACTTAACATCAACAAACTGCAAACAAGCATGAGAGAAAAACTGCAACAGCAATAAAAGTATCGTAAGAAATTGTTTCACGGTGCTTTTTGGGAGAAACAATAGCACAGGACTTACACAATCACTATACACAACAACAATTATCACTACTTACAACAGTGATTCCCAAACTTTACCACTTGAAAAACTCCTTCCTTGAAAACATTAGAATAATAAACACCAACCTGTATCATACATGTACATCTTGTCTACTGCCAAACAACTTAACCTGCCCTATCTCTACTAATGCACAATGTTTCACATGTCAAATCTCTTTTGGAAGGAAAGGAGCTAGTGACACTATATACAGGTAGCCCTCGATTTACGCCGGGGATGTGTTCCTGGACGAACCGGCGTAATCGGAATTGGCGTAAATTGGAACGATTTTATCATGTAAATCAATGGGAAGTCAATACATGCGTTCCCTGCACCCAAACATTGACGAGTAACATAATGGCATTACATTTAAAGCTCTGATATAACATAAATAAAATAAAGGGAATTTAAAAAAATATATTTTATACACTTACAATGAGCGATGGCGTGATGAAGCGGCGTTAGTTCTCAACGAAGTCCCTGGTTGAGGAGCGTCATGTTTCTCAAAGAAGGCATGTAGTGTGAACTGTCGTGATTTCTTCTTTCTTTCTTTCAAAATTTCACGATAAGGCCTCATGGATGCCATAACGCTCCTCTTTGCTGCAGCACAAGAGCAAACTCGCATATGCAAAAGTTTGCATTTCACAAACAGCTTTTACCAATTCATCGATCTCATTGCAGCAAATCCGTGTTAACGAAACGTACGTAATTGCAGAGATGACTGTATTTATAATTTTTATTCAAAATCAGCGATGTAAGGATTATGATTTAGTACAAGAAGCAATACAAGAAACATCGTAAAACGTTATAAATAATAGTAAAATATATTTTTTACTTTTTTACTTTATGGTTTAAAAATCGGCGTTATTTTGAATTGGCGCAAATCGAGAGTTACCTGTACTGTACATCAAACCCACCTCCACCCCCCTCAATGTAACATAATTTCAGTCTCTTTCCTTACAAAATAGTTAGAAAGACACCTGGTGATGAAGAATACAACATTTAAGTTGACAATATGGCTCATTAGTAAATCCAGGGAAGTGTTGTTATAAAAATGAGGTTCCTACCAACACACATTTCTTCTGGTGTACCTGAAACTTGTGTATTCATGAATCTCAGTTTGGGAACCACTTACACAGAGCAAAGTACACAAGGTAAATGATCACAGCAGTCTGAAAGAATACACCAAATACAAAATATAATATACCACTTACCAGAGTAAATACTAACTATAATAATACCAACTGGAAAACATAGCAGCATGAACAAATGCAAAGCACAGAAAGCAATCTAATAATTAAACATTCCCAACAGCCCACAGAAAAAGTATCATAAAATAATATCCCTTCAGTGCAAAACACTACAGACAAAATTTGATTCACCTGTGAAAACACACAGCAAATGTTACAAGCACACTAAATGGCTTGTCTGAAAATAAAAGGCAGCTTCTTCAAAAATAAAAGTTGCTTTGGCTCCTAAAATAAAACTGTTGCACTGTTATATATGAAAAACGATTAACCATCAAATAAAGGTCTGTAAACTTGGAGACAAAGAACAGCAACATAAAATCATAACATGTTACCAATTTAAATGTCTGCAACATTGTTGAACTGTTAGCTGACAAATGGGTGTACTGCTGTTAATATGAATAGTATTTATAAAATAAAAACTGGAGTCAAAGAAGAAAAGTCTTAAAACAAATAGAAACAACACTTTAAAAACATGAAGTGCAGAACACCAAATCTATTAACATTTAATATATCTTAACACTTCTATGCAGCTTCTCTTGCAACACATAAAAGGAGCAGCATTTCTTAGGTGCATTTCTAAAACAAATGTAGCATACCATCTAATTCCAAAATCTTCTGAATTTAAAGTGAACTGTGTTAAAAACAGAAATAAATCAAAATACAGGTGAGCCCATGTTTCAACAATATGCCATGCAGAAATACAGGAATATTCTTCACATTGCTGCAAGATTTATGAGTGATCATCATCTTCACAATCTAGCAGACAACAACTTATGTGTCCGCTAAACACAAGACTGGAACGATTCCAGTTCTCTTCTGAATGCAGTGATATAGGAAAACTCCAAATTGCTCCTGCCAGTTAACAAATACCTAGCATCCACACTGGAGCCAAATAAAAACAATTGTCACACTGATGGTTTATTAATCGTGACAATGATGGCAGTTTTGTTGACAATAACAACTAAATTGAATACAGCACTCCTATAACACATCATGGAAGTCCTTCCTACGTTCGAATCTCGTACCAAATACTAGTCATATTGTGGTATTCCTCAGTCCCTCCAAGTAGCATTTTAAATTTGGTCATGACCACTTCTTCCATATCCTTTCTAATTCATTACACATTAATCATCCTATCACATGACGTTACACATTTAATCTTAGGAACTAGTGGAATGTTTTAATATTTTCATTACGAATTGTGTTCTTCTTCATGTTCTGTCCAGCCATTCATTAAATAAGTCATAAATACATAAGATAACAAGAAAGGCAACGATGATGATGACAATCATGATACTCACAGAGTAACCAAACATTAACATGGAGAGAGAGAGAGAGAGAGGTGTCATGACAAAGACTGGTTTCTGCTTCTTTTGAAAATAAACTTCAACGGTCAAAGTTACTGTCATGCTGGTGCTTTGCAAGACATGAAAATGCTCATATTAAACCCATAAAATCACAGTTATAAGCTCCCGTCATATAAAAATTTTGGTACTTGTGGGTTATCGGGACACATTGCTTTAAAAATACGTTAGGTTAGGTTAGGTTAATGTGTGTGGATAAATGACATATACTTGAAAGTTATTATATTTTATTTCAATAAATGACAAGTATTTTTAAAGCGATGTGTCCTGATAACCCAAAAGTGCCAAAATTTCCCTTCATTTGCATAATCATTGTCTATCAACACTAAATAAAAATATTTTGCGAGGTTATCATCTGCAACAGAATGCAGCCAGCTCAGGATAGAGTCCAGTGGTGGGATTTTGTGAACATGGTGATGAACCTTCTGGTTTCATAAAGTGGGCTATTCTTTGACGAGCCGAGTATACAATCGACTTTTCAACTACTGCCCTGAATGAGAGCTTTCAAGAACTTAAGACTACCAGATCAGTTTCAGAACAGAGATGACAGCACCATACATTTCAAAAGGCAATATAACCTGACAAAAATTGTGAATTGTGATGCCCCAATGACATGTCTCAGGTTACATTTATGAGTGTCATGTTTATCAAGGCAAAATGTGCAAAAAAA